CCTTTGTTGTAGATCTTTGCTGTAGTTATAAGCTTCGCACATACTGAAGTTCAGGTGGAGTTCTACAGAGTTTGGAGTTATCCAGCTGCATCTGGCTTAGGTCTCGCTTCTGTGCTCAGCACCTTCCCTCTGAAGACCAGGGCTAGGAGTGGGTCTGGGGGTTCCTGGAAGTCAGCAGAAATTCCTACTCGGTGGGCAGGGTGTGGGAGGTACCGCGGAGTGATGTGGGGCATCCCGGGGGTATGGGAGAAGGTCCGGCCCACGCTGCGCCTGGGCTGGGACTGGTCCCGCTGGTGCAGGGTAGCAGGAAGCTCTCCACACACTCACCGGACCTGGGCTAGGACTGGGTCTGGGGGTTCCCGAAGTTGGCAGAAATTCCTACTCATCAGGCGGGGTGGGGGAGCTATTGCGGAGTGGTGGGGGGTTGCCCAAGGGGTGGGTGAGGGTCCGACCCACACTGAGCCTGGGCTGGGACTGGTCCCACCAGCGCAGGGTAGCAGGAAGCTCTCCGCACACTCACCAGACCTGGTCTAGGACTGGGTCTGGGGGTTCCCGGATGTCGACAGAAATTCCTAGTGGGCGGGCGGGGTGCGGGAGGTAGTGAGGAGTGGTGGGTGGCAGCCCGAGGGGGTGGGAGAGGGTCCGGCCCATGCTGGGACTGGGCTGGGACTGGTCCCGCTAGCGCAGGGTAGCAGGAAGCTCTCCACACACTCACAGGACCTGGGCTAGGACTGGGTCTAGAGCATTTCTTTAAAAAGGGAAGTGAAGATGATTTATCTCTGGATACTGTATGTGTCTCCTCTACAACCTGCTTTATTTATATATTAAGGTGATTATGACCCTAAAAGACCTTTCCTGAACACAATCACGAAATTTATTGAAGACAAAGAAAGTGAGACTAATTTTCTTGGAGGAAAATTTTAATAACTTCTTATTTTAAACCAAGTTTCAACTATATTAGTCTCAAAGGCTACTAAATCCTTTCAGAGTCGGTTTATCTGAATGGAGAAGACAATAAGTATTACAAGGAAGAGAAATTAAGGACAACATTTCTGCTTTTTGCTTGCAATGCAATTGTTATTTCCTGAATGTGAGGAAATTCTACATTTAATTCTACTTTGGAAGTTTTTCTGAAAGAAAATGAAAAAACTGAGAAGTTGCTGACTTGAGCCTTTTACAGCTCAGAATGTTTTTATTTTATTTTATTTTAAAATTAATTTCATTGAAAAACAGATATCAATGAGACAGTGTCAAAACAGATTAATAGGTTATTTTCAATAATTAATACATTACATATTGTTATCTTCTTAGTGGTTATCCATAGTACAAGATGCAGACATGATATCTTGTCCAAATACTATTTGTACAAATCTTTCTTCTCATTGAATTAAGAGAAAGTAGTTGTGTATCTATCCTGACTATTGTGTATATACAGATACAAAATGGTCCTTCCTTTGTATTCCCCCCCTTTTTTCTTTTGGTTTGGTTTTGTTAGAGATTTGTATTCCATTACAGCTCAGCATATGGATGTGGCTTTACTTTTTATACTTAGTTTTTATAATTTTTCTGCTGAATGGTTAAGACCAAGATAAAGAAAGACCTATAAAACAAGAAATGTAGCTTTTGTATCTAATAAGGTAGGTCAAATCCCTTCCGGACTTATCCTGAAACTCAGTACTGCAGTTTATAGATCGTTTGTCAGTGTCAGCCATGAGGATAAGTCACATCTTGACCAATCTCCTCTCTGTAAAAGACGGAGAGAATGTTTTCTCTCCATGTGACTCTCCTTAGGCAAACTCTACATCATCGATTACATTCCTCTGTGGCCCCATAATCTCCTTGATCAGAAAATTTGGGACAAAACTGAGTTACCTGATGTTACAGTATAGGTTCTCCTATGTACTGAGTCTTCACTGAGCTTGAAAGCCTAGGGCCAAAATGTTGGCTGTCCTTGCAGCCCTTCTTTTTTCCTAATTTTTGGTCTGCAGACTTAGGATGTTAACCCTCCAGAAGAGAAGCTTATTATTACCCTAGAAACGAGGCTGTTTAGCTTAACCTCTCTATCTGTCGGAGGATCAAACATCTTACACATAACATGGAACAAGTATTTTTCTTCAAGTATTGATATGTTAAATTTAAGTCCCTACAGAACATGAAGAAAAAAAGTTAAAAAATTTAAAATATATTTAAAAAATTGGAATAAACAATTACATATTTTTACACAGAAGTTTAGAGATCTAACCACATAGAGCATTGTAGAAGGGCAGTCCTGAAACACCATTTTTTCTGTCTCCTGTCTTCATTCACCACCCCATTCCTTTTTAAACATTTACCTGAGAGACAGCACAGCAGCAACAGGTGTTTCATGACAAACAGCATGTATTCTGAAGATCAGAATGACAGGCACTCCAAGAATGACCCTACTATTACACATTGCCATCTTCAGTGTGTTGTTTAGTTCACAGGTATCAGCATGTATAGTTAGTCAGGGTAAGAATCCTACCAGTCAACTGCTAGCTTCAAAAAACTTCTGAAGATTCTCAGAGTCATTGTCTTACCCATCCTGTACATATAAATGTATAGCTTTCTGTTGTCATGTTTCCAAGCTTTTTTTTTCTTGCTCTATCTTCATTATCTAATCCTCAAGTTATCGCTGTGATTCTAATTGCATTATATCTTTCTATTTGTATTTCTACTTTTGAGTTCTTATACTAGGGAGAATATAAGATATTTACACATGTCAGTCTGGTTTATTTCACTTTTGAGTATGTCTTCAAGTGGCATACACTTAAATATGAAGGCTTCAAGTTTATCATTCTTTATAGCTGAGTAATACTCCAGAATTATGGCAGACTTCTCTTCACAAAACATGAAGGCAGGAAGACCATGGAGCAGAGAGTTTCAAACCCTCTATGAAAACAAATTCCAGCCCAGACTACTATACCCTGCAAAACTCTCTTTCAAGTTTGATGGAGAAGTGAAATTCTTCCATGATAAAGAACAGCTAAAGAATTTCATGATGACAAAGCCAACCCTACACAGGCTACTGAAAGATGTTCTAGTGAGGGACCAAAATGATCAGAACTCCACGAATGAGATCAGAAGCAACCAACTAAATAGGACAAGCAATTAAACACAGGAGAAAAAGGAGTAAATGACAACAGGTAAGTAACATGTCAATCATAAGTCAATACATCTCAAT